TAAAATGTAATTAAAGCAAATAAAATTATACTTACCCATTCGAGATGTTAAAATGCCATTATGCACCCAACTTGTCGCCTCTCCTCTTCTCTACCTGTTTCTTAATTCCTTTTTCTCATCTTTTCATGTTATTTCTATACGATTATCAAAATAGTTGTGAATTTATTGTAGGTGATCCAGAGTGCAGCCTGTATGTGAGCCGGAAAAGTGTTTGTAAATCAGAGATTAGCTAACAAACAGACAATGTGGAAAATTATTTCGATGGCACATTTTATGTCTCACATTTATAGTTTGGGATTAAAGTTATAAACTGTACACTGTAAAGAGAGATGGTGTTCTTGAGGGTTTTAGTTTTTGAGATATCCAAAGTAATCCGTAGGTAACTCACATTTCTTTTAGTGATCACAGTCGTGAGCCTCGTATATTGCTGAATACATAGCATAATTTTTTCTAAGTTTTTTCAGCGTAGCATAATTAAAAATTGCACCTGTCCTGTTGAATGCATCTGGTCACGTTCAGAGGATCGTCAGTGGATGTACGGGCAGCAAAATGGTTTTACTGTGTGTCTCCGGTCCCTATGAAGAGTGCTCATAAGCATCATATTTTTGCCCTTTTTGGGTATGTAGGACACGAGGGCAGTGTTGGCCATAAACACAAAGGTGGAGGAATGGATTGGCCTGTTCTTTACAATTAGAAGCTGAGGTGGGAGCTCAGTCCTGTTTTTTTCTAATTGTGCCAACCATTGTCAGCTTTCTTTTGAGAAGTTCCTGTCCCAGGCTGTATGTAGTGAAAAAATTATCACAAGTGATGTTGTGCCCAACCCGTGTCCCCTGGTTTTTCTCAGGGGCTCCTCCCTCTGGCTTACCTGTATAAATTTACATGTTCCATGCATGATATGATGTCGCATCACAGGCAGTCCATATTTTTATTCCATACCTTGCTGGTTTGGAGGGCATGTACTTACAAATCTTTAAGTCTACAATCCATTTCCAGCTACACCTAGCTGATTTATTCCCAAGATCATTCTGTTTGTTTGTTTGGGACTTAAATCTGGACAACACTGACTTCGAACCGCTCCAGCCTGGCCAATACATGACCAGATAGGCTGTTGCTAAAAATCTTCATGTGATGGTGATGTGATGTATTGTGGGCACTGTTTAAAAATATGGTCATGGCCTTCATGTACATTGAAAGCATCTTCCTTTTCCTCTGCTGTCTGCAAAAAGTGCTGGGGGACAAAAGACAGTCTGTTCTGGGTAAGACTGCCTTCTAAAATTCAGAATAATATATAACATCTCTTTGGCAATGACATGCTGTCACTGAGTAAGAAATCCAAGTGGGCAATGTGAAATATTGTACAAAGAATCTGAACAGGACAGTGAAAGTTTGGGAGGGAGGTGTCATTAGCAATGCTGATGGCTCTGCGGGTCTTGCTGGCTGTTTTCACTATGCGTTGCAGGGTCCTCCTGCAGGAGGCAGTAGTAGATGGGTGTCAGAAAGCCCCTCTTCATACTTGGGCTTACCACTAGGAGGCCAATGTGAATGTTTATTGTGTGAATGCTTTACAGCATCCACACTATGTTCTCCTGTTCATAGTTGGGTGGATGCTTTACAGCATCCACACAACTATGGAATGTATTAAGTTGCAGTACCACTACTCATTAGGTCTGAACTTTGATTTGGGATGCTACACAAAGTTGGTCAAAGAACTTGAAATTTTTTTTTTCGTAAATTCAAAACTAATATTTTATAGTGGACTTATATTTACTGAGGACATATTAGGATATGAGGGTAACTATTCACACAAACAGATTATACTGTCCAATATCCACAGCATAAATTTGCCTTCTGCTATCATATGTTGTGCCATTCTTAAGCTGTTCCACTGTACAAAACTACATTTGCACAAAGTGCAAAGGGATGAATACAGGAGGAAAAAAAAAGAAATGCAAGAAAATCCAATACACATAAGCCTCATGTCCAGCTGGTTTTAAATCAAACAATCTTTAATGACTGATACATGGTAACCTTGCAACACTCACTTATACACTCTAATATAAAATAAATGTAAAACATGAGCAAACATCACACATCAGCATAACAGCTATGGGTTAAAACAAAATTACAACTGTTAAGAGGTATTTTGCACACATACATTTAAAAGAAAATGACAAAAGTGGAATGTTTAGTACCTTCTATATCTTCTGTTACTGGGTTTCAAACTGCATTGACAAGCAATAAATTCTTTATGCTTAATCCTTTTTTTGTTAATAGTGGCATTTACAGCAGCTTGTGTTTTCATTGCGAGCCATAATATTTTTGCCTTGCTTTTTATTTTTTCATCCCTGCTGTAAAAAGTCAACGGGCAAATAGTTTGACAAAACCAGCATTCAGAAGAGCACAATCAGTAGCTATCAGTGTACTTCTACATGTACTGTTCCCCAAATCATGACTAAAAGATGCCTATAATGAACAAATGCAACATACTAGAATGTCAATATACATATGTCAAGTGTGTATACATGGATAAAAGGATGCATCATTTATAGGGACTTAATTTGTCTTGCAAAGTTGGGGATAAAAAAAAAATTCTGAGGGGCAAGTGCACAGGATCACAGTTGTAACCCCAGTTGGAAAAAAAGAACTTGCTGAATGTCTTTACAGTGAAGTCAAGTAATGGTTTGAAAGCAGGGCAGGTGAAAATAAAATGGGTGTAATATAGGGAGTGTGTGTGTGTGTGTGTGTGTGTGTGTGTGTGTGTGTGGGACAAGAAGTAGTGTGTCAAAATGTTGGGCTTTGTCTGACCTGGGTCAAATAGTATGTGAAAATAATTGTTTTTTTTAACCTGCTTAAGATGGATCACCACATAGATCAAATCAGTGAATAGCAGTGTTACAGTAAATTATCTGAAAGTTAATTAAGTACAATGTATCTGTGAACGACATCTTAACTGACAGTTTGAATAGATCTGGTGTGGTCAACTCCATCTGCTACTCCGTCATACACCAAAAAATATTTCACAGTAGCATTTCACCAAGGTCTGCTGTATCTGAATGCCTCAGGTCTCTGCTTTCTCCTTTTGCTTCTTGCTCTTTTTCAGGAATGACGGTGGCTTGAACTTCTTCTTTTTCTTGGACGGGGACTTGGAGGGCGAACCCTCAGGGGTGCCGCCTTGTGGTTTGGCAGGCGGAGCAGTAGGGGTGGAGGAAGTGTCATTGGTTGAAAGAGCCTTCATGCCTTTCTCCAGTTCCTCCGTCATCTGCTTCTCCTCCTCACCTCCGTTCTGTATGGCTGGAGAGTCGGTCTTTGCCTCTTCTGTTCCGAGCGTTGCAAAAACAAAACAAAACACAATAATCAGGAATCAGGCAGGACTGAAAGACGTGAGTGGGGTGAAGCTGCAAAGCTCTATGCTAGACAAGCTGCTGCATATTTACATGCTTGCTTAATGAGAAGTGGGTTGTCATACATACTGTTTCTCTGTACTTACTAGTGAGACAAGACCAAAGCACCAGAAGTGTGCCCTATGAATCAGTGTGGAGTAACACAGGAGAGACAGATACAGAGGGAGAGAGTACAACAGATACAGTGGGTACACAGAAGATGAATTTCCCTAC